TGAACTGAGTTAATATGAGCTCAGAAACATTTCACACAGTGATTTCTGACTTCAAATAAAGAATATTTTACCTGCTTGACTTGTGAGTGAAAATGGTCTGGGTCAGCAAACAAGTTCCAAATAGCTGCATATTGCTGCAAATGATCTAGTGCACCCTAGATTACAATGGAGAATTAAACCCCCTGTTTTTTTCACATTTGAAGTTCCCTACGTTTTCTAGAAGATGTTTTCCAGGAGTCGGTAGGACTGCCCTCTGACCTGTGATTTCATGTGCTCATTCTGTTACCAGAAGAGTTGGGGAGGAGTTGTTGCTTTTGTATCCTTTGTCCTTAACATCAGAAGCCTTCATTCAACTAAGTAGTAGCTTTGCTTTTGTTTGTGAGTTTTGTCAGGAGTGCTTTGCTTTGGAGATCTCACAGTCTGTGAGGTATGACTAGCATATAACCTTTCTAACCTGAGGGGCCTGTGAGCAGATCGGTCAGTCTGCCTCTCCTAAAGGAGGACATGCCACTGGTGTAACCACAGCAGCTGATAGAGCCCAGGGTACTCTGCTGTCTTCCTAAGAAAGGCAATATATACCTCTACTACACAGTCATGCAGAGCACATGCAGCAACCCAGCACAATGTCAAAGAAGGAAGCAAGCTAGGTGGGATCTGATTACCGCCACTCCAGCCGTTCATCCATACCCCTGTGGAGTCTGTAGGATGAATGAGCTGCAGGCTGCAACCAGACTGGGAGCCCTTAGCTTGGTGAATATCATGTTGACACTTCGTGAGTAAAACTGTTGGTTTTACAACCATTCATTGACCCACTTTATGAATTTCAGGATGCCTTGAGGACAGAGGGACCAAGGTGCTGTGCATGGGGTGACTGCACCTATTTGTTGCTGCACTTCCAGCATTGTGCCTTGAACCCACCACAGCCTTTTATATTCTGATTTGCCTTGTGCGAAAGACTTCTTTGCCCTCTGTGCAGATGTAATTTTAACACCTCTACTACCACAGCTAGGAAGAGAGACTAAGCTGTAGTGAAGACTCTTGGATGCTGCTTGAAGGGCAACATGTCATCTTTATTGCTTGTGAAAATGAGCAGATTGCGGCTGTTGTGCCTCAGATAGGACTGTTCAGCTCAGAGAAAAATGTTAAGTTCTGCAACCTTATCCCATCATGAACTGGTATGTTTTATTATGATTGAGGTTTTTTTAAAGTATTGCTGCTTTTCTATTCCTGCTCTGGAAACTGTTTTTCTCCAAGCCTTCCACAACTACAGCTGACTTTGTAGACACCTTGAGACAAGTGTAGGTATTATAATAAAGGATATACAGTTTTATTGTGACATGAAGTAGAACTGTTCAGTGATATTTTTCTGTCAGCTCCTGGATCTAGCAGATCTTTACTACAAGGTTTTCTGAAATTAAATCACTCTAGTCATTCCTAGAGTAATGTAATATTACTCCTTCTTGTATGTGCTTACACTAATTGATCCATGGGTACAATAGAAAGCAAAAGGTCCAAAAAGAGGGTCAGAATTTCTAAACTGATACTTTCAGGTCCAAATACCAATAGTTTGATGCAATGGCTCTGGGTCAGATACTGTGGCATGCAAAGAAAAATATTATTTTGCTCCACCTGTCTCCCTAGTTGTTCAGGAGTGATTTTATGCAGGTTCATTGCATTGTTGCAGAGATGAAAAAATTAGATTATTTCTATATGATGGGTAGTGGTTTCTTAGAGCTATAACACTGGGGAGGTTTCAAATGCACCTGATAAAATGCTTGCATTCTATCAGGTGCAGAAGCATTAACTTATAAACATCATATTAACACTTTTGCACGGGCATATTGTCTTTTGTCCCATATCCCCAATGAGTTTTACATATGTTAATGACTCGTGTGAAGTTTGTATTCATCACAGCTGCACTGGCATGAGCCCTGTGCCTGTCCATTCATACACAGTTGTCACGTAAGTGCACAGTCTTGTGATATAATTATCATCTTTGACACAGGATTGCTCTAAAATAGTGGAATTCATGTTTGTGTGTTTGAAGCATTACCCTGAGAGTTTATGGGCACAAAATTATTTATATCGCTTTCTTCTTCTGTGCCCTCGCCAAGTTATGGGGTTCTGCCAGTTACTGGAGCTCTGGAAAGACATGCTTATGTCTTTCCAGGAGGGAAGATATCTTCAGCAAGTACACAAACTGCCAAAATGAGTAGAAGAGTAATTTCCCTGTGATGACTATGATGAATATTCCTAATACTATTTTATAGCAAAATTCATGTCGATGAATACTGAACAGCAAATCCCCAATGCTATTAGCTAGTGTTTGTTTGTGGGAGACAGTAAAAAAGGTAAAGAACTTTGCTTGAGCTGCTTTTAATACATGTTTACTCTGTAATGCCTTATTTTTTGAAGACACAGCAGTACAAGTCAGAAATTACTGCGTACCTTAAAACTGGTTTTCATTTAGAGAGTGCCTCCTTCATCCTATTTTATCAGTGGCACAGTTTATTCCAGAGTCAGGAGAGGGCCATCTGATCCACCAAAGCCCTGTGTTCTTGTGTTCTTAATGATGAGAGAACAAACCAACGACTTCAGGTGAATTTCACTGACAAACGAATCTGCCATTAAGTGTCCTAAATATACTCAAGGGCGGTAACATCTTGTCTGAAATACGTGGTGAGGTATATGTTCCATGTTCTAGATACAAATGGCTTAGTGCTGCTTAATTCTGCTAGACTGGCTCCTTGAGTTGAGTGCTTTGGTATCTTTAGTTCTTCACAGCATGATGTAGTGTTCTGTTTTGTGGTACATCTAGAGAGAAGTGATATCCCTCATGAGTATTTGCTTTGTGTGATAGTTGTGACTTTTGGGCTTGTAGGTTACAAATTTTCATGTGCTATTTTTATACTATTTTTATAGTTCATTACTTTTTACTTCATAAAAATGTAAAAGAGTCCAATCAGACTATCAGTTGAGGACACATTTAACAATAAATTGATTGACTACCAAGCAAATGAACAACTCCAAGGCAAGGCAAGAAGCTACTGTACATATCAACTGATGCAATTCATAGCATCAGATGATATGTATTTAAAATATTATGGCATTGACTGCATACAAAGATTACACTGTAAAAGATTAACCAGGGCAAATTCAATAATTGATACACTCTGAAGCCTATAGATAACAACAGGATTAATGAAGTATCCTGCAGCCTTTTACTCATGCTAGCAGTATCAGCAAAGTCAAAGACTATCAGGACTATCTGAAGCCTGCTGGAAACTCTTTGAACTGAGACCTTTCACTTTCAAGTGAAACCAGCAACCCTTTTTTTTTTTTTTTTTTGTCAAATAGTCCATGGAGATTTGTGACAGTGTGGGACAGAATTAGCCCTTCATTTCCTCTGAAGGCTTGTGAAACAACATCAAGCAGGGGAAGAGCTTGAAAACATCCAAGAACCAGGCATCTAAAATGCAGCATTAAGCCCACAACTTTACCAGCTTTAGCTTTTACATAAAATGGCAGTGAGTTATTCAGGAATGCAAATCTATTACTATTGTTGTTGTTATTATTATTTATTATCATTATTATTATTACTATTATTGAATTACACTTCCTCTCTGAAGAATGTTTCTTTCTTAGCCAGTGACAAAAACAATGAATACACATCACATGACAAATCTCCATCAGGCAGTGTCCTATTCACCCAGCTGTGCTCTGCCAGACTATTGTTAGATATGTATTTGCCTCAGCTTCTAATATCAGCCTTCAATGAATTTTTTCCTATTTGTCCTTGTGATGACCTGGAAACCTCAGGAGAGATTAAGCCCAAGATAGAGTATAAGGACTGGATAAAAAAAATAATGAAACTCTGCTCTGTGCTCCAATTTGGCTTGCAGTATGGCAAATCATGGACTTTTCAGAATTAACACACTAACCGATATGTAATTTATGCATGCTCAGAGATTTAAAATGTTTGTTTATTTTAAACACAGTTCATTTAAAATTATTTCTTATCTATTGAGATCTAGCAACATTTTTATTGCTGGCCAAATATAAATGAAAAAGAAAAAAACCTCATCTAAGTGGTAAAGACATACTACTCCTGCCTACCATGAGGTCAGAGGAGGAAATTCTGATGGCAGAGAAATGAGTGAGGATGCCATTCATGAGACTGGGTCTGTCTGCAAGACCAGGAATGTTTTATTGTGTGTTTTACTGATGCCAAACAAATGGTCTAGTGCAAACTTAATCTGAGCTCTCAAGTCTGCTTGAGCCTAGGAGGACCAAGCTCTGGTCCTGGAAGTTGGGGCAGGAAGGAATGTCTGGGCAAGAACCCCTCAGCCTGACCACCAGCAGGTACCTAGAGCTTGTTTCTCCATAAACTGCATGTAGATGCTTTGAGCTGAAGCTACAGCCAGGCTGCAGCCAGCTAAGGAGTCAGAAATGGATTATGGACCTACTGGTCTGCTTCTGGAATTTGTTGTTTGATTCCCTAAACTGGGGAATTCATCTAACAAAAGCAGTATCCTGGGCCTTATCTGTGACATGTTTTGGGATACCTCTTCCAAAAGTTCCAGAAACTGTGGAGTATTTTGCTTGCATAAGAAACATGAACTCTATTGCTGTCATGGCACAATTCAAGCACAGACAATGTACTCAGAGAATTCCACTCAGGGGGATACACAAACACCCACTTTTTTTACTATTTGTATGATTTCAATAACATCTCTGGAACAGGCTCCTCATAAACAGGTTGGTAGATGAGAGGAATTTTAGTGGCAGATTTATGGACAGCAAAGAAAATTACAAAGGCCAAAAGTTCAGAACCTAACTCTATGCAAGAAAGACCAAAGTGAAAAGCATAGGAGAGAAACGAGGGATTTCCAAAGTGATTAAAAAGTTGAAAATTACCACCTTGATACTAATAGAAGAAAGTCCTAAGAAATGAGCATGAAAATGTGACTGTAAGGAGATTTGAAGTCCATATACATTACCCACTAGGAGGCACAATGTTTGCATACTAGCATCTAAAGATGTTATTCAGGACACTGGAGTACTTACGATGTTCTCAGAACATAGCAGAAGCAAATTAAGAATGATGAAATAGATTAATAAAAAAAGGAATAAAACCCCCATAAAGTTCAAATGAAGGGCCTAATTCCATCCCTATTAAAATATAAACAGCCATATTGCCATTAAGTTCACTTAAAATATAAACAGCCACATTCCCATTAAGTATACTAAGCCTGAAGTGGGGTCCTTAGTGCACGCTAAAATCTACATGCATGCAAAATGTACTAAAAAAAGCAGACAATTTACTTTTAATTTTACTTCTACTCCTAAAAGAAAAGCAGGCAGAATAATCCCCTACACTTGGGCTCTTTTCCCAGACTGAGTTACTTTTTATCTTCTAAAGCGCTGCAGTTATTGTCAGCAGCCTGGCCCTGCATCATCAGTGAATAAAAAGTGATGGACAGGTGCCTGTCCTCTTTGCTCAGGGAAAGCCTTGCTGACAGCATGGTCACTGCAGGATGGTGTCCTCCTTTCAGAGTCCATGCAAAATGCCATTTGTCTGCCATGAACTGAGTGTGGTTGTTAAGTAATGGGGCTGAACCTTCTGCATCTCCCATGTCAGCTTCTCAGTGCTTGCAAAGAATTGATGCACTAGCTGGTCTCGGAATTCTTTTCATGTGTCTCCAAAAGCCATGTGAGCTCGAAAGGGACAGTGCAAGGAGAAATTCAGGGAAAGGCCTGTGTGGGAACTGCAAAAAGTCTATGCGGCTGTATCCCAGACTTAGCACTGTGAGCACTTCTGAGCCCATGTATCCAGATGAGCACCTTGCCCTGGTCGTGATGCTGTGACTGGGTGAAATCATTCCTCCTTCTCCTGGGTCTTTGTTGGGAAGGCAGCCTGGCTGCACAGAATGTTAGGAGTAAGACGCATGCTTTAATTAGTCCATAATTTGTCTGCCTGGGGAAAGCAGGGTCGCAAGGCAGACTGTGATGCTTGCTTCTCTGACAGTCCTTTGAAATAACCAGGCAAAGCTGATTCTGAGGTTCGCAGTTGGCTGGTTAGTACCTGGCACTTGTGCAGATGTGCTGAAAAGGCTATTCTTCCTCTGAGACAGCAGTCCCAGGTATCCAAGAACGAGGCTGTGTGCAGCTGAGGCTGTAGCAAACCTCCTGTTCACCTCATCCATGCAGGACCAGGACCTCTGAGAGAGTGCCAAGGACATGAGCTCCCAGATAACAACTCTTGCAGGTGTATAGCCATAAAAGGGGAGATGCTCTGACCTGCTGTTGAGGGCATTTCAATATGTGCGCTGTCTAGGGTTTCTGGAGAGCTCAAGGATTGCGTTTGCTGACTGTGTGTCTTCTCCCCTAGAATCAGGGCAGCTCTTCACAGTCCCTAGCCTCAATCTGACATAACTTGCTGACCCGTGTTGGTTCTTCTCTCTAGAACTGATTTTCTGCACAGGTTCAGTGCTTTGGGTTTATTTTGTATTGTGGTCTGTGGTTTTGTGGGGTTTGGGCTAGGCAGCTGCTGTAACTTGACCAGTACTTGTCCCACAGCTCCCAGGCATCTTTAATGTTGCTTGACTTCTGTGACATTCATGTGCTGTCCACTGTCTTGTGTTCAAGCCTTTGACTTTTTTGGGTAGGGATTGTTTTTTATTGTGTTTGTTGAGCATCTTATATAGGCAACAAAGTGAGAAAGTTCAGTCAAACCCAAAGATGTCATTCCCAAGATGATGCATTCCACCTACCTGGTCCTTGCTGCAAACTAGAGTATCTCAAAGGTGAAAACAGGCTGTTTCATGTATGTCTCTGGTCCCACCTCTGGTGGTTGGGATTTGCTCTTGATCAGGGTCATGTTGCTGTCTCTCAAACCCAGGGAGTGTGTCTCCCCTCTTGTTGCCTGTGAGGCTGGGTTTTACCCAAAGATCCTGAAAAAGCACCAGTAGCGAGCTATCTGCTCCGTGGGTGGATTTACCACTCACTCCAGGGGATGTAAGGCTTTGCCTTTTTCCAGAGGCCATGTAAGTATTAGCGTACTGAGCCCAAAGCACTTGGTTCACTTTACTTTCCCTGAGAGATTTTCCCCATCACCACGTGTTCCCCGTCAGGGCAGGAAAATGGTCTGTACGGGGCACAGGCGGGGGCAGAGGCCGTGGGGGCAGGACAACGCGGGACGCCCTCTTTCCCCAGTGGAGCGCCGGAGGCGAAACTCGTTTTCCTGGAGCGCTTCCAGCCCGGCGGGGGAGCTGCGGGGGGCGGGCCGGCCCCGGGGG